TTTCTCGTTTTTGACTTATCGTGCAGACAAAAAACGTGACATCGGACAGACAGACAGACAAAGTAAACCTATAATACTCTTCACAGAACACTGTGAATTGTGAATTGTACTAGACTGGCAACACTGGTTTGGTAACCTTGTTTGTGAGCGGCGCGCCAATTAATGTGTTCTTTGACAGTTTGAAGAACCTGTTGGCGTGTTGTCTTCTCTTTTTAGCTATATGCATTCACCATATCGTCTCACTCGTGTTAGGCTCACTCATCATAATGCGCAATAGGCACAGTATACTTAGGTATACTGTGCCACAGAGACGCGATCAGCCAGAGGACAATGATGTACCAAAAAATATAGATTAATACGTATGAAAATAAAAATATTAAAACTAAATTTATATTTTTATGTTATTTATGTAATTTTAAAATAATGTGTTTTTATGAAATTTAACCTTTTCATTTCCTTGAATATTTTTTGTTTTAGTATCCATGGTGGTTTTGCCTTATTGTGGCAGATATGGTTTGTTTTTTGTACAAATATACATATATCAATATCAGTAACATAAAATATGAACCAAACTAATTAAAACTAAATAATTGCTATGAAACTAGCACTATCTGTTTCTATTTTATATATTTTATTTTTTAAACAGCCACTGTGTTGTATAATATTTCTTACTCTTGACAATAATTAGGCATATTATTTGTATAAGGCTTTTAAACTAAACAATTTATTCTAAAGATTCGATTTCTTTTAATCTTTTAACCATTGGGCCCTCGATTGTTCGAATGCAGCTGGCAGGCTATTGTTATAAAGTGCAAGTACACAAGTATTAAATTTCGAACGTAGCATACACAGCGTTATTAATTAATTCATTAATTAGCTAAAATACTTTTGCGAAACAGCTATAGAGTATTTATTTCTGTCAAGCACAAAAGCGCTTTACTTACATTCATTTACAGCATCCGCTTTTTGTAATTATTTCATCTAACATTGCTTAGGCTAGTTCGTACACTCTCGTTTTGTGATACATAAAACACTTTCGTTAAAGCGACTACACATTTAAAAGTGAATATACAAATTATAATTTGAACTGCCGGTCTTGGGGTCACGGCTAATATGTGTAGCACATTCATCCTTAGCCTAAGAACGCTTTTTTTTATACTTTGGCCCACGGCAGTTTTTGTCCAATCGTTCAGGTTGAAAAATACAAGAATACCTTTATTCAAATTTATCTGATTTAAAAATATGTAGATAAATATAATAGATAGGTTTAAAATGTAAGTACCCGCAGAAATAAAAATGTATACAATTTAATAAAAATTATGATGTTCCAAACAATGATTGCTATAGAATTGGGAGCGAGAGAGTTGAGTCATCTTCTTCTTTCTAACAAAACTATAAAGATCTTTACGGATAGTTCGGCAGCCCCTGAGTTGATTTAAAGCTGGTTTAGAACTCTATGAAACAGATCTGCTCAGATTAATAAATGGGAAAGGAACGATCTACGCGCGCGCGTTCTTAAGGGATTCTATGGAAAAGAGGAAAACGCGATGAGAGCGAGAACACCAAGTGGAAATGCATGCGTTATAAAATATGGGAAAGAACTTCACTGTGCGAGCTCGAGATTAACACGATTGTCAAATGCGTTCTCACCTTTTCAGGACTAATAACAGGGTATAGTTTACACAGTGGTCCCTCCAGTACTTCCTGGCCCTTTTGTAGAAGTGCCGGGATTATACCATCAGGTCCAGCTGTTTTGTATGGTTGAAAGGAATTTATCGCCCACACAAGTTTTGTTCTGTTTACTATTGAGTTTGCAAGAGACCAGTTAGTTTTTGAGGCACTAGAAATTAGTGCCTCAGTACTCCTGTTCTCTTGGTCAAGAATAATCTCACATCCAGAAAAGTGTGACTTTGGTAGTAAATCTAAAGTCTCCTCCTCTGTTTTTGTAAGTTCTCCTTGTTGATTTTTCAGAGATCCCATGCATCCTTCTGTATATCTCTCTGTAGAGTTTTCCTGAGTCTGGCACATTCTGGAAGGCTTTCAATGCCATCACAGAATTTCTTTCAGGAATTTTATTTGGCTTTCCTAATGGCATAGCCATATAGGATTCCCAGTTCCCCGACCTTTTGGAAAGGTCTCGATTCCACCATACAGCGTTTTAATGGGCAGTTTTTTTTTCAAACGTGTTAGTTAGGGTTCTTGTCAGAAACTCTGACATAAACTCAACTTCCACAGAATTCTTCGGTATCGGCGGACAGTCCTCCAGTCCCTGTTTGAGTTCTTCCTTGAAAGCTCCCCAGTTACAGGTCCTAAGAATTACGATATGTCTTCTCACCCGATGTTTTTGTACCCAGATTAAACAGGATATGCCTGTGGTCGGAAAGTGACGCTTCTTTTGAAACGTGCCACTTCCCCACCAATGAACACGCCCGTTGTGTACCAAGGGTTATACCTCCCTTCGCACAGATGTTACGAAGGTCGGTTCATTTTCTACGTTTGCAACTTCTAGTTTTAGGGATATTGTCACTAGGTCATTTGTACAAAATTCCCATAGTGGAAATACCTTCAAGCTTTTATTTGCAATAATGCAGGTTTTTGGGTGTCCAGACGCTGAATGAATCATGTCATAGTCCCCTGATATATGCAATCCTCTAATTCGCCCCTTGTATATAAGGAGTTCTTGGATTAAAGCAAGATCAATGTCTTGTTTTATTATACATCGTTGTAGGACAGCTGTTGCCGCACAACAGTGATGTATATTTGCTTGGATTACCTTCATATTTTTTTTTTAAAGGTTATCCCTACTTCTTGATGTAGGGTCATCTTCCTCCTCCGGCACGTCAGCCAGGTTAGACCGCAGTGAGTCCCCTAAAAGAGTCCTCTCCTCGTCTTCACCTAGCTCACGTGCTGTGGATTCCGAGTCCCCTATTTCCATTGGAGCGTCAGTCTCTTGTTCTGTAGCCCCACTTTCTTGTGGTTCTACGACCAAGGACTGATTCTCCTCTGGTATGTTTTCTCCTACCTCAGAAGGCGTTACTTTTTCCTGAGAAGTTTCAGGAGCAGCAAGAGTAGCCCGTTCCGTTTTTCCAACAATCTCTTTTATCGAGATATTGGAGAAATCCAGGAACAGTATTCCCTGCTTCTCCTTTATCTTCTCCCAAGAGACGGAATCCATGGTTATGAAAAGTCGCTGTCCCCTAGGGTCCAACTTCCTTCCAGTAATCCTCCAGTTCCCCGTTGGGAGCCCCTCTTCATTATTCTGTCTGGTTCCACTGCGGGTCCCGATATCCATGTCATAGTAAACTTGGGTTTCATTACTTCCCCAGAGTCTATGACTTTGAGTTTAGCACCATCCCAAGGTACCATGCGTTTGACGGTCTGCTCAGCCCAATCTCTCGTTGCTTGATCAACGCAAGAAAGGTTTAAACTTCCGTTTCTTATTCTAGCTTCGGATAACCTGGGTGAAAGTCCTCCTTCGTCTAGTTCTTCGAGTCTGTCGAGCAGTGCAGTCCTTATTAGGCCACCCTGTTCCGTTGTTAATATATTATTGGGATAGTCTATTGGTACAATGGCTACCCCAATATTGCTTACCTTAGAGGCAAAAGAACACGATGCTACCGGCTCGGCCCACATTAGATGTGGTACCAGTTTATCCCGAACCCGAAGCTCTCGCATCCTTAGCCCTCTTAGTTTTTCCTTTATCCGGTGTGCTTGTATCGGACCGGTTTCTCTTTTGAGCCCCGGTTCGTCCCTGCTCGCTGGACACAGCCTTAGCTGTGTTATTTTGTTTTGCCATTACTGAAGTACTAGGACTCGCGTTCTGTCCCATCTCCGTAAAGAAAGGACGAGATGCTTGCCCCCTTTCCCCTGGTCCAGCATTCATTGGCACTACGTTTCATTGTTTTTCCGTCCCTGAAGTACTAGGACTCGCCTTCCGTCTCATCTCCGTAGAGACAGGACAAGATGCTTGCCCCCGTACCTATTGTCCAGCGTTCACTGGTCTGCCCTGTGCCGGAAGAATTAGGTCCAGCCTCACTCCCCACATCTAATGATGCGGAGGATGCGCCGCCCTGTCTCTCCTGCTCAGAGGTCCCGCTAGTACCGGTGTTTTGTCGGAGCCCCTTTCAAGATACTAACTACAACTGTCTATCTTATCTTCATACCAAATCCTAGGTAGATATCCATATTATAATCCTACTCCTTTGGTATCATTTTGGTTTTTTCATGGCATTAGTAATCTCCAAGAAGATGATAAAATATCGATTAACCCTTAGATTATAGATTTCTATAATCTAAGGATTTATCCCATTTACATTTTTAATACAATTATAATCACAATTATAAATTTTGAACCCTCAGATTACTTTCTATAATCTAAGCTGAAACCTTTCTCTCCACTTGTCATTAACTTTCACCTTGACATCAAACATTTCCAAGAAGTCAATGATAAATAACGATTTAAACAATTTAATGTTGGAATACCTAATAGTCAAATTTATAGGCCTTGAAAAATATTTGTTATATACCTTGTTGTTAATTTACTCAAACAGATAACTCTACCATTTACATAACAATTGCAAATAATTCAAAAAACATTTTATAAAGTATCTACATACCGAAATAATACTCATTAATACATATTCAAAAAAATATATTTTTAAATGATTTTATGTTCCCCGTAAATAATAATTATATGCACCCACACCTGACATTTCCTGATCTGACAGATTTATTACTCGATTGCGATTTTACTATAGTATGAAAAAGGGTATGAAAAATGTTTGGAAATTTAAGTTTATTATTATTATTAAACCTAAATCTTCTTTTGGTCAACCACGATTTTACTTAGTTCCGATTTAATCACTCAAATCAATGATTGAAAATGGATACACCCGCATTTATCGTCAATCATCTGATAATAAATCTAATCAACAACGATTAGTCGTCTGAAAGTCTCGATAATTGAGATAATTTTGGGTAGAAATCGATAGTTACATCAGTATCAAATCAGTATTGTACGAATCAATGATACGGTGACCTTAGTACATAACAATAGACATTTTTTCCTATTTTATTGAATAGTTTGGGCTGATTTAATTGTGTATTCTTGAAATTCGAATAAATCTCAGCAGGATAAGGACAATGAGCTTTTATAAGTACCCGGTAGGTGATTTTGTTGATAAGTATTTTTTTTTATAAATATGCATAAAATATTTTGGGAAAAAAATTTTAATACAGTAATCAGGTTTAAATATATTCACTTTTTGTTTATTTTAAATCGATCTTTAAACTGCTCATATGCATAGAGATTTCTGATGTAAATTATTTATTCAAGTTTATGTAAATAAATTCATGTGTAACATTTTAATGATATACATTTCTAATGGATTAATGTATGGTGACGTTTTTATAGTAAAATTGAAATTCTTAAAAAGTTTATAAAATACAATATTAAATAAGAGTTTCATTCATTCATTTAGAGATTTTTTATATGTATATCTTTATTAATTTAAGTATAATTTCGCAAAAACTGCAATACTTAATTATGCGTTTTCTTTTTTATGACTCGATTGCATAAACATGTTAATGTTTCTAATTTGTTTAAATAAAAATTATGAGTTGAATATTTCTTTAAAATTGTTGATCCAATGTTCATATATAATTTACATTGCAATCAACTGTCCGTCTGGGAATGTGTAATATTTAAATTTTCAATATTTTTTATTTATTTAGTATTTATGAATAATTCTCACATATTACGTAGTGATGTCAGCAAATTATCTGGTTGTATCTAAAAGTTTTCTATTGTCAATTTGTACCAAGTAATGGAATCGCTAGGTATAGTATTTGATAGATGCCGCATTAGCAATAATTTAATTTCTGTTAATACGACATCAAAAATACAACTGACAGTGGGTTACCGTTTCGATGATGGTGGGTGAGATTTTGCTCACCTGTTAGTCAAAAAGAACAATCAATCATCTGCAAGTCGCGCCGGAACGCGAAGGAAAATATTAATAATAATAGCCGCCCCTTCCTCGCATAAGCTATTATGGCCACAACAGGTAATAATGTCATAACAATGCTACTACTCAACCACCCACCTTATGTTGAAGTGAACTATATAAAACCCTGAGTTTTGAAGATTTATTGTAGATTATTTAATTAAAATATCGGAAATTATTAGTATGACTTTTTATATGATTTATTTATGTAAACTTCAGATTAACAATATCTTTTAATAATAAAAGTACTTGTACATGGATACAAAATTATACAGGACAATAATTATTCCTATGATATTAACACCTTCCCTCATTGGATAATTTTGTGAGGTTTTGTTAACGCATCTGCTATTTGTTCATTTGAATCGACCTTTAGAACGTCGACCCATTCTTCCAGTACACGTTTTCTGATAAAGAAATGTTTGATTCTGACATGTTTTGTACGACGATGAAGTTCTGGGTTTTGTGCCAATTTGATTGTCGCTTCATTGTCAATAAATATATTTGGTAGACGTTTTAATTTCACAATTTGTTGATAAAGTCGTTTCAACCACATAACTTCTCTAGCAGCTTCACTCGCAGCTAATATTTCAGCTTCCGTAGTTGATATTGCAACGGAACTTTGACAGCACCTCCTGCGTAGATGCAAACAATACCCGTAGTGGAACGCCCTGTGGTCTTATCTGGTGTAGGCATTGGAGAAAGAGAGCGATAAGATCTCAGCTGTTTCGAAATTGGAGGAGCATAAACTTCCATCAGTCTTTTGAAGAAAAGGAGTGGCCACTTTGGATGAGAAAGAAAAACCGATGTATTTAAAGATTTTTTTTAGTAAGGTCACTGTTAGCGATTGATTCTTCGTAAGATTGTCTCGTAGAAGACAGTTGCCGCTTGAGCCGATTGGAAAATCTTCTGCGGCAGATGAAATCGTCGTTATCTTGTGTGTTTTTATAACTTCTCCATAGATTGTGTCTATGTTTTACCATTTCTAGTACTTCCCAAGTGATCCAGAGTTTTAATTTGTACAGAGGTTAAATGTTTAGTAATTTTTATACATATTACATCTATATTAGAGATATGTGTATAGGAGATGCAGATAAATTATTTACAATATTTTTTAATAAATGCAAACGTCACCAACAATTCGGTTTTCTCGGTCGCTGCGAAAGATTGTGTATCCATCGATATCAACTAGTGAGTTGGGAGTTGAGGTATTTAACCAGGTTTGACTGCTAAGAAATATATCAGGTTTAAGAAGTTGAACAGTGCACATAAATTCATTATATTTAGCGTGAATAGAACATAAATTAGTGTATAAGAGAAACCAGTCAACGAGATAGGATGAAGAAAAGCTATCATTGGCGAAATGCAACAATTTTGGGCAGTCTGTTGACATATTTGATGGGTAGGTTATCTTCGCCATTGTTTGTTCGGTTTTCTAGTTCCTCACATAAGTCCAGGAGGTATTGCTGTTGGATGGGGGTCTTATCGTCTATTATAGTAATCCCGTTGGTGTTTGCATTTTCCAATAGTTTTTTCTTGTTTCTTAAAATAAATTTGGCATCTGATTCAGAGGACATAACAACTTTCAGCATTCTGGGTAAGCGTTGCTGTGGTTTTCCTACACGGAAAAATGTTACTGGTTCTCCTTGAAATCCAATTGAAATTAAAAAGCGTTTGTCTAAAATTTTGATGCAGTTCCTGATAGGAATTCGGTTACGTTTTCGTCTGTATGTATAATAAAACAGAACGCCATGTAACTTCATGTTATTACCATGCAATTACTTTACATGTTACATTGTACATTATTAATTTAAAATAATTCTTTCATAACTATTTTGATTTTCGATTTCGAACAGTTTTAGATTAATAAATAACAGATTATCGATAAAGTAATCAGTAGGTTGTCAATCAACTCGCTCTTTGATATGATGTAATAAGAGAACTCACTTCCGATTAATATTAATTTAATTTAAATAGTTCGGATGAAAAAACGACATATCATTGAGAGAACACACATCTGGACTAGACGTAGTTCCGTTTGAAATAGGCGCGACGGCAACCAGATGAAAGCTTTATTTATTTTAATAGCAGAGATAAATAATTTTTAGCTTTTATTTGGTTCACCAGTTGATCATATTTAGGACTTAATAGCAAGCTTGAAATGAAAGTACTTAGGCTATCTTTTTAACTATTTTTGAATGGGTCAAAAATTACAAAAAGATTAAAGTACCAAGTCACGAATAAATCGCAACTGATAATAAAGATTTAAAGATTAGAACTATAATTACTTATTTAATTATAATAATTTGATAATGCTAACTTATTGCTTTCTAAATAAAAAATATTTTTATTTTCCAATTCTGGAGAAATCGCGAAAGAGGTGGTTAACCTAATGTGATGCTATTATAATTCAATACTGGGTGATACCCAAAGAATTTGAATCTATAAATATTGCAATATTTAATTAGCATGAAATTGTAGGCGGTAAGCAGTTTTCTACTGAAATTGTTATCAATTTAAATGTTTGTCTTGTTAAAAAAAAATTATCATTGTATAAATAGTATAGAGATGATAAGAGAATATTAATACAAAAAATTGATTCTCTTCCCTTTTTGCGAATAAACATGCTCTAATGTTTAATTCATTATATAGGGAATATTTGTAAAACTATTTTTAAAAACATTTTATCGTTTTTAATACAATATTTAATAATTAATTCATAAATATATACTTTTTATTCTTATACATGAGTTTTGGGTGAATAGAAGAAAAAATATTAAAAGTAAGAAAGGACCATCCGGTATGTTTACGGAATTACATCAACAGTTAATAAAAATTCGTTTGAAAACCGCATTATACCAATTATATAAATCCTGTACGCCATATGTCAAATAAAAAATGTACATATTAAATACATATCGAGTACAAACCACTTAGTGGATCGTATTAAATAAGTTATTGATCTAAGATTTCATATTAAATGCGCAAATAAATCTTAAGATTAAAAATGTTTATTTTGGTTTGTCAACAAAGAGGATTGTAGTAATGAAAGCATATAATGTAAATATTACTGGTATGTAAAACTACCAAAGAATGGAATAATTAAAAATAATAAAAAAAATAAATAAAAAAACCCATCAAAAAATAGGAAAAACAAACATGAAAATTAACCATAAAAACACAATATTCATGATCCATTTAATAATACGAATATGTCAATATAACAAGATAGGAATAAATATATGTAGAAGAGAAAATGAAAAAATTAAAAATATTAAAATTACGTACATTCAAACTTTTACTGCATTAAAATGTAGGATATTAAATTATTAATAGTAATATTGAGACTATACAATACAGAATGCAAGTAGTCAAGCTTGATTAGTCAATAGCAATCTACAGTAGGAGAAATGTTTTAAGGTCCCACATTGATAAAAATGTTTTTTTTTTATTATTTTCCGATATTTATTGGTAATAAATAAACAATATTCAAATTAACAAAAATGTATTTGAATAATTTAAAAATTCAGACCCCAAAGATGAAAACAAATACTTGAAGATTTAAAAAAGCCTGCGGCATCCGGGGATCGAACCCAGGCGTCCTTTTTTGCTAGACAAGTGCCCCTTCCATTAGACCATCCACGACAGTGATTGACTGTCGAGATTCCAAGACAGAAGTTTGACGTGCTAGTTCGGGCCAGACGGCGTTCAGGCTCGTTCTCAAATCTTCAAATACCTCTCTACAGCATCGATGTATATGAAAAATGCATACGTTTTCAATGTACGTTAAGAGACGTAAACTTGAGTGTGAAAATTGTTCAAAAAAGTATTATGAAATAAATATTTGATTTATTTTTCCAGTAGGTGCTTATTATTAAATAAATACATGTGCATATTTATAGGATATCTAAAGCAAATACATAGTTCGTTGATTTTGCATTGAGAAACCTAGAGTATAATGCAATAAATAGTTGTTTTATTTTTCGAAGAGGCAAATAAATTTAAATATATTTTTTTTGGCTATTTAAAGCAAATAAATATTTAAAATAAAACAGGAATATAATTCACATAAATACGAGTGATCTTTTCCCTCAGGAAAACAACTACTCCTTTGGCTAATAATAGCTCAACAGGAAATTGAATTAAATCCAATGGAAA